AAGACGACAGTGAGTTAACAGATCAATAAGACAGCTAAGACAGTTAAATTCTACATAATATAAGTTCAACTTGCTGAGAAGTAGAGGGTCCCTTTAAACAAACAAAGATAAAAGGACCAGCACAGCACGCAAAGAACCCATTGCAATATGAATTGAGCTGCACCATAGAATCGATGATATTGTTCCTCACGTGATGTTGTCGAGATAGATCAATTATAGTTGCTGATAGCATGTCGCTAACTATCGTGTCAGACTCCCCGGAGTTTAGTAAATTTTTTGTCGTGTGGGGAATATTCAAGGGCGGCATTTAATCAGAAAATGTGCTGTAAATACAAAACAATGATGTAGGGAAACACATATCCAATTGATCAACATTGCAGATACAAATAAACAAAACAAAACAAACAACATGATCAACYATTTGCTTTTTCATGTTTTTTTAGCTACATATTTTAATAGATTGTATAACTCGTTTTATTGCTGACCGCTGATTCTGACGATTCTGACCGCTGGCCATGCGACTTTGAACTAGAGGTGATTTTCAGAAAAAAACTGCATGTTGTATTAAATWTTTCCTGTTGTCAAACAGAGTTTTCTCAATTATTTAAGGGCGGAATCTCTGGTGTAAAAGCTTTCAATTCGATTTTATCAGTCTCTCAGGTGGTTATGGAGGAATTAGTTTTGATGGTTGGGTGCTAGTGGTTTCGTGATTTTGTGAGCACTTTGTTTATTTTCTAGCTATCAATTAAGTACTTAACAATTACGTTGACTGGGCGCAGGCACAACAAGACATTTTGCGCGATCCACACTTGCCGCGCGCGGGAGTTGTACAAACAGTACCCGATATCACTTGTCTTGATATTTTCAACCTTTTAATTGCCATTCCCACGACTGGAAAAAATGGTGCACCTAAATCATTTACATCAAATTTACATCATTTTGGACACTTACATCATATTTACATCAAATTTACAACCTTTAAAGTGCGCGTTTTTTTTCGAGTGTGTCGCAGAGATGACGCATATCAATACGACAAGCCATGCGCGACAATCGCATCGCGTAGATAAGGCCTCTGTTTTTAGTTTTTTAGAAGAATTCACTAGCAAAAKAATACATTTCCCATGTAAAATGCATGGAAACCCGAAACCCCTAAAAATCCTTATAAATTTACAGCATACCATTAATTCCCATAATAAAACKTTCTTGTATATTAAAATCCTGTAAATTAAATGTAAATTCACAAWTTAGGACTTGTAGGATCTTGAAGAAAAAGAGGTGTAGCCATGCCTCGGAATATAATGTAGGGAAAAGTGGACTTCTTAAAGCATAAAGTGAAATAGATGTTTAATGCAGACGTTTCGCCGACGTTTTGTAGAATCTTGTAATTTTGAGTCAGTATACAATGTCAATCTTACTACTTTTAATGCATGGTAATCACTAGTTTTAGGATCAATTATTTTGTTCCATTTTCTTCGTGTGAAACCTTTTGACTATGAAAACAACAATTAATTACTTCTAAATTTCTAAATTAAGTTCGATGTTTACTAGAAATCTTTAATCAGTGTTCTTGGCGCTGCAAAATAAACAAGAAATCATTTTTTACTTCTTGTTTGATTCTGGTTTCATAGGATGTCATTAATAATTTGATTGATTGACTTCATAGCTATTAATTACTTGTCTATTTAAAGACATTAGATGCACTAAAACAGAATAAAGCATATTATTGTATAGCAACTCGTTGACCGGCTCTTTATTTACTGGTTCATTTTTTTTTACAATTTTAACATCAAAACACTTCTGAATGACAAGCCTTCTGTGCCGTCAATCGTGTAGACAGCTGGYRATAGTGTCTGATTGTCTTCGCCCCCTTGAAGGAAACAATAACAACTTAACGGTGCAGATAAGAAAAATGGTTTTCGCWTTGAATATTCATTTTAACCCATCTCTTTTGTTTGCTTTTTTGATATTTTTTGGTTGTGTTAAATCTATTTTTACTATTTTGTATACCTAGGGTAGTATATTTTTAGCACAAAACACAACAATTCTGCTCCCCACCATGCTAATATATAATCGTTTGCGCAAAAAACCCTTAAAACAGCAACAACAATAACAAAAATAGAAAAAAAACAAAAAACAAACAAAGCACACAACAGAAAAGTAAAACACAAACAAAACAAACGAAAAAAACACCTGATTTTTGAGGTACATTTGTTTTTGCAGCAAGTTCCAAAAGGCAGACCATAAGAGGAAATACAAAGAATATATATCCAACGTATACATAGGGAGCCAAATTTATATTATTTTATTACTAATTTATTATTATTTATGTATATAGTATATTCCGCATGAGCTCATTATATGTTTTCAGTGTTTGCTAAGCATATTTATYATGCATTTTCCATTCAGTATAAATATCCACCTATTCAACTCTGTGTATTCTCTGATGAGTATTTCTTAATTTGGAAACATTTATTTATTGACCGGCAGAGGTTAACGTCTCTTAATATTAAAACGTGGCGCCGAGGGCTTGTGCAAAATATCAAGCTTTCCAAGGGCATTTGTTTTCAAGCATTATTGAAATCTGACGGCGGTTCCCGATGAGCTAGAATCTACAGATCTACGGAATAATCAAATTAATCAAATTAACTAAAAACTTCAGTGCTTTAATGTGCTGATATGGCTCTGTAAATGATTTTGGCACAGCCGACTTTTCCGAGCCGTGGGATATTGCATTTGACGCTGTTCGACTAATATTTCTCGTTTATCATTGAACCTTTTATTGCTTTGGATTTCGACACAAAGACTACTTCACAAAGACCCATAATCACTATTTTTCTGATTTTGTCTTTGCCGAAACATCATTTTATCTATAGATCTCGTCTTTTTCGACTCCAGAGCCACTTTCGATTCACTGTCAAAAATTATTTTTTTGCATTATAAAAACCTCTTTAGTTTAAATTCATAATATTATCATGATTCATGAGAGAAAATGACTGTTGACTGCTGCACTGAAAAATGATTTCCACCCAAAAGGCTAAATCATGGCCAACTTTTGGTTATTTTTTTTCGTTGTGGCTGCACTCTATGACGTACGACGTATTTTCTGTGGCAAGAAAACYGTAATTAAATACTCTAGATTGACGTGACGCTGAAAACAACATTCATATGAAGGTTATAATGCTGAGTGAGGCGTATTTTGAATGACATTTGTTGAAAAATATCCTCACTCAGACTTCTAGCTTAGTCCTGTACATTCGTGATAACAATTTGATTATTTTTGAATTTAGAGTATGTTTTTCCTCTAGCTCAGTGAGCTTCGCTATAAAAAAGTCACACGAAAAAACCTTTCCTGTTATAATTTATGAAATTACAAATACTTCCAGTCTCCCGCCACCAAACCTCCTTCAATCATCAAACAACACAAAAACAACAAACAAGCAGGAAAACAGACCGAGCACGAAAGACAAAGCAAATTGTACATATGGCCGTATGAACGGTGGTATTAGGGAATAAACGACTATAACTTTTTTCAAGTTAATTCCAAGTTAATTAATATTCAGAGCTAGCTAGCTATAACTATAACTTAATATTAAAATAAAAGGTGGATCATGCATTTCTTATTCAAATGTGTTTTCCTATGATTGAAATAATAAATTCCCCCTTGAGGAAGACAGAACGTTACACTGAAAAAGCGAAAGATGAAAAAACACATCTCTGTTTACGAGACCTGTCTTCCGGTGAAACCGTAGTCTTTTATCATYATAGTAAAATGAGCAAAAACAGTGCATTTAAGTATTGTATATATATATTGTATATAATCAAGCTCCGTACTTATGTTTTAAACTAATTAAACTAGTCTATTTCTAGTTTTCGTTTTTAGTTCGTCGGTGCCATTAGATTTTACTTTATTACGGAAGGAAGCTATTTCGAGAGACTTCCAATTAAACCCTAGACTTGTTCGAGTACTAAACTTAAAATGATCACTCATTGAGATTCGAATATTTCTATCAATAACAATGTTCTGATCTATATTTATTTGTTCCTAATGCATGATCGCGGTAGGGTGTAAAGACCTTATTCTTAAAGTCTGATTGTTGACAAAATAAACCAATAGTAAATTGACGCATTCAAAGTAAACACCAAATATTGCCTATTGTATTAAGTAGCTATAGTGAGTAGTGAGTCTATAACAGCCTTATACACAAATTTACGGTGAAAAACCAGCGTTATGAATTATTTGGCTGTCCAATGACGAAACGTTATTCTTTCTTGGGCTTTTGTTCTTTTGAGCGGCCATCTGTGAGAGAAAAGTTATTGATTACTTCTGAATGACTGGTTTGACAAAACACCCTTTAAACTGATTGGCTAAAAATGATGTGAAATTTAGTCGTGCTTGTAGACACGGTAACGGATGGTTGGCTGCCTCACGGACCTCGTCAATTGTACCATGACCAATCGTTTAGCTAAGTCATTTCCCGAATAGCTCTCAACGATCACATCATATCGAAAAATGTCTCAATGTCGCCGTCGATTTCCTTTCGCGATAACGGACTGACATTCACGATCATCATTTAGAGTAACTAAGGAAGATAAAGAGCTTGTGATTTTAAATCGAGCCGTGATTTCTCGAGCCAACAGATGTCGTTCAACGTTGGAAACTCAACCACTTCCCCTGCAATTCTTTACAAGGGATTGGGATGGTGCTTTTCGTTCGGATTGGAAAGCATTTTAATTACCATTGGGAATTTATTAACAATTGCAGCCTTTGTCAAACAGAAATGTCTTCGTAAAAGAGGGACGTACCTTCTGATCAACTTAGCAATATCAGATATTTTCATAGGATTGGTACCGCTTCCAATCTATATCTATTTCATTGGACTGGAGTTTCATCTATGGCAGCCTTATCAAATTGGTATTTTATCTTTGGTCTTTTATTTCTTTGATATACTGCTTGGAATAGCATCGCTTTTGAACTTGACAATTATCGCTCTTGAAAGGCTTTACGCGGCTAAACGGCCATTTTGTTATCGTACAACTCAACCGAGCAGTTATTATACTATGATAGGGATTACGTGGATACTAGCGACTGTGATTGCTACATTATGTTTTTGTGCATTTTACTTAACATCTTCTCTCATGATATCCACCTATGTTTCCATGACAATTGTATTTGTAGCATTTTGGACAATATCGTCATCATATGCAATAGTTTGGATGCGCTTAAGACTGCATAGCAAGAAAAACTACCGCAAAGCCTCGGAGAGTGAACGCAAACTTGGCATAACAATGATAATTTTGACAATTCTTTCTCTAGCAGCATGGCTGCCCTTTGTAATGATGAATCTAGTAATTGTCTTGTCAAAGACTCAAGTTCCAAGTCAGACTATCATTTTAACTACTAAGCTTTTACATTATGGCAACAGCCTGACAAATTGCATTGTGTATTCCCTAAGGATGCCAGACTTCAGAAGAGCCGTCATTAAGATTGTGAAATTCGATCGATTTGATAATTCAGCGTTTAATTCTCCTGTCGATAGCTCGACATTCTCTCCATTTCGCTCGCGGAAGATGAGATATTCGACAACGATCAATGGAACAAATCCTGATGTTAAGATGGAACTGGTTTAAAGATTTTAAGAAAATATATAAAAATTATATTACAAGGGTAAATAGCTTTGGCTAGATGCATGACAACTAGTATATTATCAAAAAAGTAAATGCGAAATAAAATGTTAATTAAGGTGCAGCTGTTCAATGTTCTAATACTCATACGCTTTCATCAAATATTATAATGATTTCTTGCTCCTTGCTTGTGAAAACTGGGATATTAAAACATATCTTACAAAAAGTAGCTCCAAAAATAAAAATAGTGAGCTTAAAGGGTTTATTAATCATATTCACACTCTTGTCCTGGTGAACAATTGAGTCTTGAATTTAGTTTCCTCTTTATCACAAGTAAACCTGTTATTCATACGCGATCATTTAGGCTTCGAAAGTAAAGTACTCTTGTTACGGTAATAATAAAATTAAAACCTGGATTAAGTGGATGTAACAAAGTATTTTTTATAGATCTCTTTTCCTTGAAGCGGCATCAGTCTTATCAGTATCGAGGTCTGTTTTCGTTTGAACCCAGCGAATCGTAAACGTTTGATTTGACAATGCAAGTCCATTGAAAGTTTCTTTGACAGTAGCATAACTACTACGGATGTAAATGTGCGTCACACTGATGCAAATCGCCCCGGGTATCGATAACAAACATAAAGCATGCTTAAAAGAATCTACGACAGTGAATTGACTTGTACAACATGTGATACTTTAATATAAGCCGTCTTGAGTAAAAAAATGAAAACTGACAATATACATTCTACCAAGAAATAATGAATATAATACATCTCATAAGGCAACAACACAATAACAACAACAAAAGGAAAATCGCAGCAATAATTTAGAGGATCAATCTTATTCCCGCAATATATACTTAGGTCAGCGTCGAGTTTTGTGTGATTCCTGTGAAGATGGGTATATTTTTGACGGGTTCTGATTGGATCTTAACAGTTAGGAAGTGAAAGCAAGAAAAGTGATCTGATTGGTGGAGAAAGTCAACATATTTTTTATTCATTTCAATTAAAGATGAAAGATAACAATTAAAAAAATCCGAAATGTATTAATAAAAAATAGCTCGTTAATTACCGAAATCGAAAAAAATACGGTCTTAGCTATAGTGGTCATGATGAGACTCGAATCCGATGACTGACCACTCAACCATGCATGTTGCCTCCTGAACAGCAATACGAAATACATTATCACAGTCAGTGATAATACAATGGAAATTGCTTTGCGCGCTGATTCAAAATAAACATTTCGACGAAAATTAGTAGTTATATAACTAGCGCGAAAGCGGTGAGYCATAAATTCAGCATCGTCATATAGGTGTTATTTTTTTCCTTCAGCAACAAATTGACAAACATCAGCGCATGCGCACGCAGCTGTGATGGTTGTTTATATCGTTCAGAAAAAAATCCAATCTTGACTTTAACTTCTTTATTCAGTTCGGTTCGGTTCGGTTCGGTTCGGTTCGGTTCGGTTCGGTTCGTTTCATTTACTTATGAGAAAGCCTATTGCTTCTATTTATACTACAGTATTCGTTATTCGAGGTTACATCACTCTATTCATACAACCCCATGACTATGCTCACTTAAATAAACACGTGCAGGGTACTTAACAATGGTAATAGGCATGCGCACAATGAAATGTTGAACCGCCTGGTCCACCACAATAATGGCGGACAAGCGTTTAGAAAGTGCCGTCTCTCATTTTGCGACGATACTTTCCTCAAAACTTGGAGAAAGACTACTTCACGAGCGCCGGAATATTGCGAGAGAACATTTTATCGCATGATTCCTTGGCTTTTAACTCGATATCAAAACAGCCGACTACGAAAACAAAACTCCTTGACACTAACCTCAGATATCATCCCTAAGCATCGAGGAGGACTTCATTCTAATCGTGATCCCGAACCCGTGCAGTAGAATACCTCTTCGAAATGTTAATCGTCTATATAGAGGAAGAATAGGCCGTGTTAAAGCACTTTGTCTACAACGTGTATATTACCAATACAGTCAACTCTCGCTACTACGGACACCCTCGGGACCGTAATTTAGTGTCCGTAATAGCGAGAGTGCCGTAGTAACGAGAAATACTATTTCAGTTATTTCTTTGTATTTTTTTTTGCCGGGGATTCAGTATTTTATTACTGTCTGCAATACCGAGATGTCCGTTGTAGCGGGGTGTCAGCGGCAAGGCGAGAGTTTACTGTATACCGAAGATCAGATGTGTTCTCATATTTTAAGCTTAGAAAAATGATTTCAAACAATAGATATGTACCAAGTTACCAAGATAGACTAAAAGACAGGCTATTAACGAGATATATTTTTTTTTGCTGTTGATCCGGATCAAAAAGCTAAAAACGTGATCCCGATCCCTGAAAACTCAGTACATTTTGATCCCTGATCCCCTTACAGAATCGTTGACAAAAAATCATTGATCCCGATCCCAGTTGAAAAACCTTTGATCCCAGGTKAAATCCATTTGATCCGGATCCTGAGCCTAAATCCTGGTCCCTGATCCCAAAATAGGTCAAAAACTGACGCTGATCCCTGATGATATCTCGTTACTAGCCTGAAAAGATGTTCAGCGTAATTTTCGGAACGTGCCGGTCCACAAACTCAAAGTTCTTACTATTCAAACGATCAAAATATTACTCAAAGTTATAAAATAAAGTTATAYATTATATATATGATTTCTAACGCGCGCTCTGATTGGCCAAAAAAGTGTGGTTTATGAGAGTATAAACCACGATTGTGCGCGAGCGATTTTTGAAAAAGGCAACAAAATTATGGATTTTTGCTTAAGTCTTGCTCAAAATCTATATTATAAAACAAATAAATAAGTCTCAGCCTGTGGTTTATACTCTGATAAGCTCGTGTTTCTTGACATTAKTCTCGTGTGTTTCAAATACCAAGCGTGCGTATAAACCACGACTGAGCCTTATTTATTTGTTAAATACCTCAATGGTGGCTGCAGCTGACCCAGTTGTTTGAAAATCGTAGAGTAGGGAATACTATTCGATCTAATAACTGCAATGCTGCAAATTTGAGTAGAATCGTACCAAATGTAGTCCATTTAAGAAACGTTATAGACCACGTGTTCAGTTTATATACTAGCACTGTACTTATAATCTATTATGTGTTTCCAGCTGTATTTGCATATGTAAAATCGAGATCTTTTGGGTTTGGGTTGACTTGAGCTAAACGCCTGTAGCTTTACAAGAGATTCGTGATGTGGATGCGGATTTCGTACAACTGTGCAACTGTACGGATCACAACACGGACACGGCACGGTCACGGAAACTCGCCTTCTAGGATTCCAAATATAAATAAAGATTTAACAATACATCACCGATACGGCACGGTACGGTCGCAGCGCGAAAACACCGAAATGAACTATTAGCAGGAGCGCGAAATGAACTATTAGCAAGAGCGCGAAATGAACTATTAGCAGGAGCGCGAAATGAACTATTAGCAGGAGCGCGAAATGAACTATTAGCAAGAGCGCGAAATGAACTATTAGCAGGAGCGCGAAATGAACTATTAGCAGGAGCGCGAAATGAACTATTAGCAAGAGCGCGAAATGAACTATTAGCAGGAGCGCGAAATGAACTATTAGCAGGAGCGCGAAATGAACTATTAGCAAGAGCGCGAAATGAACTATTAGCAGGAGCGCAAAATGAACTATTAG